CTGTTGTACTTTGCAGCTGATGAAGAAGATGAGCTCGACGGACACGCCGCTGGGCACGCTGCAGATGCTGCAGGAGAAGCAGCGCGAGACGCACTCGCCCTACGTCGTGCTCAGCGGCGCCAAGCGCGAACACAAGTAGCGCCTCGCCGCAACATCCACTTGTATTGTACTTAGCATTTGAGTTCGAGACCAGTATATTTAAACAATACGTAGTCTTTTATTTATACAACTTCCATACATGGCTGTAGTTTAATGCGTTTTTACTCGGATGTCTATATTTTATAGAATATATGTACAAGCATTTCACATTGTCTAAAGCAAATGTAACGTTACCTATGTATTTCCTGTTAACTTTGCATAAAAGCTAAATATAGATATAAATTTGTACACAATAACAGACTTTTATTTATTACCCCAAAAAGCTAGTTACGAATAATTTTGAATAAGATGTTACTGACGACAGACGTCCAAGTACACTTCTGTCTGCTCCTCGGCGAGCCCCCCTCCGCCGCCCGGTGCCGTGCGCCTCTGCATTGGAGCGAAGAGTAAGATAGTACCGTTCACCTTTGAATAAACTATCGCGCAACTCTTTAGTCTCGATTTGATTCCTATGATCCTTCATATAAGGAGGTGCGCACTCTAAACGATGTTCAGTTTTGCTACTAAATAGGAAAAAGCGTATAAGTAAATAGTTGAATTGGCTGCAAAACCAAATTAACAATCGCAAAAACAGTTCATAGTTGTGCGCCCGATCTAAATGTGTCACGTGGCCACGCACCCCTCCCCGCCGACACAGCCACAGCACGATAAAAATGGAAGGAAAAACCTCTCCATCAATGGAGGTCAATGCTGGGACCCTATAAGAGGTTTTGTTTGAATTTCAAGGTCATACAGTTTGTAAAAAATAAACATTGAAGTCTCCTGTCAATAATCGATCGTGCTGCCCATGAGTCACTTTCTGAATATTTTAACGCTAATTACGCTTCTATTACTGAATAGAAAAAAATGGAAGAGGAACAGGAAAGTGAACCTCCGAAGCCACTCGACTTGTTCTCCTTTCTGCCGTACGCATGCGGGCAAATGCAGGCGCCCTTCGAGCTGCAGGTCATACCCTACACTCAATGTCAGTATCAGCCCATCTAGCACTGAATTGATATTTCTTCCGAACGGTTCATTTCCTTATGTATGCATGTATGCGCTGACAATTTTAATACCAGAAACAATAATTGTTTCCTTAATGAGCTGATATGTTTTTTAAATCATCATCATCATTATCTTTTGTCTGTCTTTGGATGCGGGATTCTTCCGCCTTCAAACTTCCCAGTGACCCGACATTATTAAATTAAAAACTGAAAAGTTTTTATGTGGTTATTGTTCGGTTCACACTTGGTCAATAGCGCGCAGTAACTGAACTGTCAAACGACCTGCACACTGTGAACGTTAACTGGCACCAGTGAGCCCATACAATCTACGACTGGCCGTCGCAACTGTTCAACTGTCTGGTCAAGTGTGACTCTGGCATAACTGATTAACGCCGGTGCAGTTAAAACTATACTTCATAAATTTTGTTTGGTGCACAGTCCAGCCCTCGTTGCGGAGGAGGCGCTCGCGTCGCAGCTCGAGCCTGGCGCGGAGCTCCATCGCCTCGGCGGCCTCGTTCGGCTGGCGGCGCGGACCCATCAACATCATCGTCGTCGAGGACCTGCTGGGTCATGTCCTCGAACTGATATTTTGGCGCTGCAAAATGATTCCTTCTTTGCTTCTCAAGATCGTTTCTCTGTGCATCCCCTATCATCCGAACTTGAGCAAAATATCGGTTCGATGGGGACCCTTGCGAGGATTCGGCCTAAAGGAGATCGTTAAATTTCTTCCAACATCCTACCTGACCGAAATCTGCCTGGACGACTCGCCGATACCTCAGCGCGACGCCCACACGCTGCTCGAAGCAAGCACGTCGCTGCGGTGGCTG